TAGGGACCTCCATTCAGCTAAAAAATATGGAAGACAAGGACTTTGTCTTATTCCCCACTACTTTCCTAAGTCCCTAAAGCAGAACCAAATGCACAACCTGAGATCAAGACACTTACAGCTGAATGGAAGATATTGGAAATATCTCTGAGTCACTGGGAGATAAGACCACAGAATAAGGTTAATTAATACAACTTGGGTAAAAAGTATATTAAAGAATGACAAGAATAAATTTTCTTTTTAGAACCAAAATTCATCTACTTAACATTTACCTATTTATAAGAAGCAATTGATAAATTTACTCTTCTCCATTTTATTTGACATTTTGGTATAAGATCAAAAACAGTAGCACATAATATTGGAGGTTCAAAAGTATTTCAAGCAATGGCTGCATAATTCCAGGAAGTACAGTTCCATCATAAATACTCTGAAGAAAAGCATTTTACCTGCCTTTTAAAAAATTATTTTAGTTGGGCATGATTGTGCACACCTATAATCCCAGTGACTCGGGAGGCTGAGGCAGGAGGATCACAAGTTCAAAGCCAGCCTCAGCAACTTAGTGAGGTCCTAAGCAACCTAGCAAGACCCTGTCTCAACCTAGAAAATAAAAAGTGGTTGGGGATGTGGCTCAGTGGTTAAGTACCCTTCAGTTCATTTCCAGTACAAAAAAAAAAAAAAACTTTTTTAAAAATCTGCCTCGTTTCATAGTCTCATCAGAATATCACTTCATTCCAGCATAAATCTGTATGTAATCTACAATGTTAAGTGAAATATTGTCCTGCAAGAGATCTCAAAATATTATTTACTAGAATAATGCTAATCCAAGAGTTAAACTGACTATTCCAAGACACTATAATTCTACCATGACCTGAAGTCATGGTTATTTTGTCAATGCATATGATGAAATGAGGTGATTCTACATTCCAGTGTTTCCTAAATATTACTTTAATATGTCCTAGTGAATGTAATTCTGAATCAAGCAGGTTACTGAACATTGCACAGAATGGTTCTATTCATTTGCTTGTGCTTAAGAATGGAAATTCTTCAATGCCAAAATTTTTAAATTCGCGTTTCTCCTTATTCTGGCTAACATACATACATAAATATATACATGAATATATACTATAATTCTTATTCTCCTTAATTTTACATCTGCACTTTTCCTCTTGAAAATAAATGAAAAACCTCCTTCTATAAAAAGTTTGCTAAAATAATTACGGATAGGGCTGGGGTTGTGGCTCATTGGTTAGGTGCTTGTCTCGAATGTGTGAGGCACTGGGTTCAATCCTCAGCACCACACAATCAATCAATCAAAAAATGTGTTGTGTCCATCTACAACTAAAATAAAAATAAAAATAAATCATGTATACACCCACACACCTGGTTTCTCAATCCCTTAAAAGTAAAGTCTATCTTTTTAGCAATATCATTATGGAGTACTGAGAATTATTAAGGTTTAATGTAGTCCCACAAATGTATAAATGACCAGCGCACATGTTCGTCTTCAGAGAGCTGAGGAACTATGAATAAGGAATGGGGCTATATCTCAATGACAGAACATTTATAAGTTTCTCCCATGAAGCAGTTTCTACCATTTCCTTTTGATACTATTTATCAGAAAAGAGCACTTTCATAGAGTAAGCAATGAAATACAGGATCTAGGTAGAACTCCTTTAAATAATATAAACAAACCTTTTAAAAAAGAGAGAAAACAATTAATTTCCTTAGGCTAAATATGATTTAAATTAACTGGCACAAGTAAACCACATCTTCAAACTTAATTCTGAAGGACACTTAGTGTACTTCAGCTGACACTTGCGTCCTAAGGAGATGATTTCATAAACCAGTAAGCTGACAGAATGGGCCTGCCTTAGTTCTTTACCTAGATATTTAAAAACCAATAATGTTTTGAGAAAAGTTAAAAACTCAGGTTCATTTTTAAGACATTTCTGACTCACCATGGTCTTTATTAAACACCAACTATTTCTTCTCACTCAACTCCTGGGACAATCATAATCCTAGCCTCCACATCCAAGTATTTCCCTCATTTCAAAACAACTTTTCACATAAGTACATTTCAAATTGCTCAAATAACTAATTGTCTTTTATTCTTTGTAAATGTTAATTTCAGAGGCAAAAACAAATAAATAAAGGAGGGCATCTGTTTCTAAGGATTTAGCAATTTAAGGGTGAGGAATGAGGAGACCGAAGAACACTGGTTACAATAATACATATAAAGTGCTTTATGGGTTATCAAATACTACCACATTATCTCTTCTGAGCAGCTCACTGGTCCACTGACAACTGAGCAATGGAGCTGGGTGGACAGAAAGGAACTGCCCACAATTATATAAAGGACACAATAACTACAGAAAAAGGAAACACTTTTCTCCTTTGTCCTAAGAACTTCACAGAGCTATACCTTGGAAAGGAAAAGGATTCCAAAGCCAAGGGCCCTTAAACAAATATACCCTTCTCCTAAACTTGGGAGAAATCAGCACTGATATTCTAGTTAATGTTACCTGTAGAGCTTCATAGAAGGAATTCTTTATTTGAGAAATAACTAATGCAGAGATTAAAAGCAATGGATACAGCATACATTTCTTTCACACCTACGTCCTTCCACCACTTCACTATCGCTACCACAGTCTACATAGATGTAATAGTTAATACTGACTGTTCACAGCTTATTCTCTGCTAATGGGTCCCTTTATTCCTTTAGTATATATTAAGGTGACTTTCCTAAGGATCCCTAAGTATTAGTAACTCTGAAAGAAAAAACGTTAAGACCTAGATTAATTGTTTTATACCAAAGTATAAATGACCCTGTAATTAACAATGTTTTCTGACATTTAGAGTGCGTAAGACTATCTCCTTGGCACTCCATCTGCCACTCAAATAGTTTAACTGCATGCCAAAGAACCTGAATGCTGACACTAGATCAAATTAATCTACAAGCACTAAGAGATTTGCTACAGTACATCTGAAACAATGACTGCACTTTACAAATTAACTGGGACACCACTTTCATCCACTCTCCATTAAAAGTTAGTTTATAAAAAAGTAATTCCTTTACACCCAACGTATATTTCACTTGGGCACTCAATGTCACCAACGCCATCCCCCACATAATCACCAAGTCCCTCATCATTAACCCTCGTTATCTGCCCAGCTTCAGTAATAATTTACTATACAACTTCTTCCTCTCCTCCTCACCTCCACCAAATCCTACTTGCACTCCCTCTCTACATCTATTAGAACCATCACATATTCTTACCTAGATAATTTTATACACTGCTTGATTTTCATGTTTCAAGAGTTAGTTTAACTGCACTGTTTCTAGAACCACCCATTTCATATAGTAGTAAAGTCACACCTTGTCCAGGAATGGTCCCTAACAAACCCGCAATGATGGCAATGGCAGGGGGGCTGCCTGCTCACTCTGGGCTGCTTAGACCCAGCAGCCATTTCTCTTGCACCCACACCCAGGGACACAACCACTTTCTTCCCTTGGCAGCTGCTCTGCCCACTCTGCTCCCCTCTGACAGCCAAGTGGGATGCCCAGGTTTCAACACCTACTTCTGATAATGGCCAGGGCCTTTTGTGGTTTGCAGGCTTGACTACCAACCTCTACAAGGAAGCACTAGGTGTGAAAGTTTGGGGCACTTAGAATTCTCACAGCTGTGGTCTCTGGATTGGTAGCTTCTGTGCCCTACCACCTATCAGGCTTGGCTTAACAAGCCTTTCCCTTCCTTAAATAAATGTAATCTAAAGCAGTGATTCTAGACTCTCAGACCTTAGGAGCCAGTAAAAGGAAGGGGATAAATGACTCCAGATAAGTTTGTTTTTGTTTTTTTTAGCCTAGTAAAGGATATTAAAAACAAATAAAACCTTTGCATTTATATTTTTAAAAATCCATCCTTCAAACTATAATCAATTTATAGGGCTTGGGTGGTGGCTCAGAGGTAGAGCGCTTGCCTAGCATGTATGAGGCACTGGGCTCCAYCCTCAGCACCACATAAAATAAAAAATTAAAGATATTGTGTCCACTTATAACTAAAAAAAATAAATATTTAAAAAAATAAAAATAAATTTATCTGTATTAAAAATCTCACTATTCTTTCATACTCACTTTGCTATAGTGAAATTAAAATAAGTTACATTAAGGAGGTGGCACTGGGGAATAATAACTTAACCCAGCCCCACTTTCAATCATGGCCAGAAGATATAATAACCTCTGCAGCTCAACTATACAGTTCTAAACTCATCCACAGCAATCCCCACTTTCCAAAATGCATGGAACAAAACTGTGCCTAAAAATAGAAGAAAGCTGGAGCCTGAAGCCCTGGGGTACCTGCAGTCCTCTGGGTCTAGCAACTAAGCCTGTTAGTAACAGCAGATTCTGAAGGAGACAGAGGCCACTTGATTTAGTCACTAATTACTGCTAGTGGTAAGAAAGCAAGAAGTACAGTTTAATACCTTCAAGAAATAAATTAGGCTAAAATGCAGAATTAAAAATCTATAATATGAAATCTAAATATTTCAAATCCCAAATTATATATGTATTTGCTTGTCCTTAATAAAGAACAGCTGGGCAACAAGGCTAGCTCCTCATTAGTAAAACTAGGCCAGAAAGGTGGCAGAAAATCTCAAATTGTGCACATCCCCCAAAATTTATTACTAAAAGCTAAAGCTATTTAAGACTAAAATTTTAAAAGCCAAAGGCTTTCTTTCTGCCCCAGTTAATATATACATAACAGCTCAAAAACCATTCTTAAAAATACCCTTAGCATACTTTCATATGGTACATAAACCTGCAGTAGGAGATCTTAATACAAATATAAAGGTGGGTCATTTCCTCCCTTTACAAGGCATCAGTATTTTATGAATGTCATTACTTGAAAGTGGGGCGGGGGGTGGGGGCAGAATCAAAGCAATGGATTGACATGAGAAAGGGCAATATCATATTAAAAACTTTTAATAAATGAAAGTATTTTACTTACGATGTTCCTTGCTGAGAATTAGGGTGAGTTTTTGAAGGTGCATCATATTGTTCTGTGGAGAGGGAGACATCATCAGAGCAGCACAGTGACACACAGTTATGAGATTAGTTGTAAATTCCCTTTTTGCCCCTTCCTCCCTTTCACCTATAAATTCCGTCCACCAGAGTACTATCCATGGCACTTAGTATAATTTCACCATTATAACATTTATGTTGCTTTTAGAGAGAAGGCTTGCGCAGAGAGCAGGATGGGGGGAAGAAAAACAACTTAATAGAAGAAAAACACTCTGGAAAGCAGTGTATGCATGTCTTCCCATGTTGCCAGGAACTGTCCTCAGTGTGGGAGACTTTTCTGCTCCTGATGACAGCTGACTGAAGCCTATGGCAGCAGGGCTGCTCTCCACCCCCATGTGGCTTGATTCCCAAATCTATCAGTGATTGGATAGCTTTCCTTTTAGAGCCTCTGTCCTTGCCTGATTAAGGTGCTCCCATTCCACCTGTCCCTCCATTATTCGCTCCTATGCCCCAACTCATTCACTCACCCTCTATTTATAGACTGCCCACTAGACAGCAATAAGTCTGAGGCATCTGGTCCAGTCCTCAGTGAGCTTACAGTTGACTTCAGGACATGAAAAGATGCACAAATACCCACACTCTTAGGCAGTATGAGTTAAGTACACTAAACAGTTGCATAAATTTACTGTCAATAGTCACTCTATTGATATTAACCAACCAAGAAAAATTAAAARAAAGAATAAAATGGATTGTGTACTAAGGTCAGGTGGGATGCTCACAGAATGACCACAGGAGGCCTTCAGGCAGAAGGGGTGAATATGTGTAAAGAAGTGGGAGGAGTTAAAACGATCCAGATTTGCAAATGGTAAGGCTGAGTATAGAATCTGTGGTGGACAGCACTAGAAGACAGGCAAGAGTCAGATTTCAGAGCACTCTGCATGCCAGGATGGGGAGTCGTAGCTTTATTACTTGGGCAACAAGATGCCATCAATGATCTAAACAGGGATATGACACAGCAGTGCCTCAGAACAAGTAACCCTGCAGCACTACCTGGTAAAGCTAGAAGGGAGAAGGAAGTGTCCAGTGTGGAGGCAACAAACCAGTTGGAAGGTAGCCGTTATTTGTCTAGACATGAGGTAACAGGAAGCAGAAACAGAACTGAAGTGGAAAAGAAAAATGGGTTCCTTTTAGTCAGGGGTGAGTGATTCTTCCCAAGAATGCCTTAGAGAGACCCTTCTATATTTGCACTTAATCACTTCATCCTCCGGGTGGCAGCAGCTCTTATGTGGTATTTTCAAATTGTCTTCCCTTCTGTCTAGACAGCTTGGATCAGGAATACAAATCAGAGTGATGAAAATCACTCTTCAGGCCATTCACCCGGACTCCCACATAGTCACCCTGATTGCAATCCATGCATCACAGGTTCTAGGCAGCCTTAAGCAGCCATGTTTGCAAACACAGTCATAAACAGTGGGACAAACATATAAACTTCCTATATTGTTCCTCCTTACCATGTACCAATACCATAAGATCATTGTTGAAGAAACCTGAATTCACTCTAGGCTTCCTTTAAGAAACATAATATGTATATTCTACTCTTCATTTTAATGCACACCTCATCCCCTCTTCATCCAACAAACAAGATACCATTTTTCCAGACCACAGAGGCCACATTCTCAAAAAGATAAACAAACCCCCAGAATACCAAGAGGCAAAGTGGGAAACCCCATGAAAGATCTGGCACAAGCAGCTGGTGAGTCAATACCTAGAGGAGACCCTTCAGTGCCTGCCAACCTCTCATCAGAATAACAAGGGATCAGCCCATACCACTGCACTGACTGAAAAGGTGATTCATCCCTGATCAAGAAAGTGCTTACAAGTATCTTCAAACAATGCAATGGATTTAAGGTTCTTTCTAAAGCAAGACTCAGCAAGCACACAGGCCATGAGCAACCAACCCAGTAGGGGGCATATAATGTGCATGAGCAGTCCTAGCAGATGGAGGGGAAGCAAGAGGTAAAGAGGCACATAGCAACCCTATGCACAGTTGGGTTGGCATTCCACCTTCAGACCTATGCCATTGCACTGGGCATCTATCCTTAGAGTGGCTGCCAAAATGCTGAGAAAAAAAGACTTCCCAATTTTCCCAAGCAGCCATAAAGTTTAGCTAATTTTACCTTGCTACTTATACAATAATACTGAGGTAAGAGAGTCAGCTTTATTTCCCCACATTTGGGGGAAATTTTATAAGTTCTTTTGTGAGATCTTATTCCATATCTCTAGAGCAGAGAACAACAATCCTTTCATATGAAAGTCAGATAATAAATATAGTATTTTAGGTGCTATGCCTTGTAGAATAATTAAGTGTGAAGGGATATGGCCCAATAAAACTTTGTTTACAAAAAATAACTGCAGGGCAGATCTGACTCACAAGCTTAGTTTGTTCATTCTTGTTCAGAGGAAGGTTATTCTGTTTCTTGCTTTTCTAATCCTTTTTTCCCCCCTCCTCATATCCTTGCAACTCAAACAATAAAATCATCAAGGAAAAAAATATAAGTGCCAGAAAAGAAAGAGACAAGGAGACGTGAAGAAAGAATCGCCACTATAGACATCCATGAGTTCCCTTCCTTCAACAGGCACACCCGTCTCCTACACTCCACATGTGGCCCCTTGGTCCTCTGAAGACCAGCACCCCACCCCGTTAGCAACGACCACATCCTGCAGCCTGTTGTCTTAACCTGTCTACCCATCCCCCACAGTGTTGTCACAATAATAAACATGGCATGATCTTAGCATAAATTTGATTGGACAAGTCTAGAGGGAAACATTTAAATAATATTATTTTAATATTATTATAAAATATTTCATATTGCTATAAAAATATTTCATATTGCTATAAGTGTCTTACTGCCTTTACAATATTCTGATGAACTAAAGGACTGCAAATATCCTAGTCATCTTCGTAAGGCAAGACATGCCTTGTGTATGCTCAGGACACCAAGAATTTGATCTGAGGGGTTACAGTTGACAAAAAAACCTGGACTAGTTAGCTTCCTTCTTTTTCCTACTGAGTTATCAACTATTTACAATCCATAAAAAAAGGGACCAAGAAAAAAATTTCATGACCAAAAGACACACAAGGGATAGAAAAGTTAGTTGTATGCTACTAACTCTTACAAAAATCTCTTATGTTAAAAACACAAGAATCACACAAAATATCCTAGCCTATTCTTGAATACAATTCCTGAGTTACAATACTTTGAGCGTCATGTTCAAGACAATTATCATGTGTCCTATAATACCAAATTATATTTGTTTAGTATTTTACTATAACATCTTCATTAACTCTTTGCAATAATCTAAAATTCCACCTAAAGCCCAGCTTAATGTTTGCTCTCCTTTCATATTCTTTCCATATAAGAAGGCCTTATTTCTGCTGGGGTATATGTTACTAATGGTTTTATATTAAATGAACAAAATTATGTCCTGTTCTCCAATGCAGTAAACAATTTCACACATTTACTTACTTTGGTTTTGGGTTGCAGAACTGATATGCTGAGAATCCTAAAAACAAAACAAAACACTACTTATTAAAATATTAAGGTTGCTTATAAATCTAAGAATAAAACCATACAGATTTCAAAACTGAAAAGATAGTCAACTTTCAAATATTTGGAAAAATGCAAATAATAGTGCAGAGGACACCCATACTACCCACCACATATATTCTATAATTAATATTTCACTATAACCCCTACAGCTATCCATCCCTCTCCTTAATCAATCTTATTTTTTATGCATAGGTTGCAAACACTGATTAATATGTTTTATATAAAATAGCTCCTAATGCTTTTCTTTCCTAGAGTTTATTTTTCTTTTGACATTGAGCAAAGATATTTTTACAGAGCTTACAGCTTTATTTTAAAAGCAGTAATAATGAATCATCTTTTTTATAAAAGAATCATCATAAATAGGTAATATCTAACTTGTGGTAAATTTGGGTTTGTGTACATAATAAATTCTTTTGAAAAAAGTACCACAGGAAGGAACAGCTGTAAATACATGCATAGTAGGCTGGGAAGAACACAGTTCTGAAGGTGCTACAGCTACAGCCGGAAGGTCATTCACATGTAGAAGCCCAAATCAGGAAAGATGGCTGTGAATAATACACTGTTCAAATACTATAATGGAAAAAATGTGAGCCGCCAGTTCATTTGCCTGTTTTGAAAACCAGCATGAGTGTAGCTGATCATATTAAACATTTAAGAAAATTTAGGAAGTATGAGACATGTAAGATGTGTTCACGTATTTATATCTCTAAGTCTGAACTAGGAATCAGATTGTCTACTCAATTTCCCATCTCCATAGGAAGAGAATGTATTGAAAAGTCCAAAGTGCTAGATAAGCTGTATACATAAGCCATAAAGCCCTATGCAAATATACAATGTTCCTCCTAACATAAGTTGGAGGATAAAGTGTTTGAGAGCATAAGAAAGCACTGCAGGACCAGATACACTGTGATTTTAACCTAATCTCCAAAGACTTCAACAAATAATACTTCAGAGACATGCCTTGCAGCAATACCTCGCACTTTTCACTGGTGTGGACACCATGCCTGTGTACTTTAAGGAATTACCTTTGTAGGGAAAGGAAACTTGGATGGTTCAGCTGTACTAGGCGTATGTATTGCTGTCAAAGGAGGAGGCCATGAATGGGTCATTTCCTGGAAAGTTTGGAAAGGGAAGAAATGGTAAGTTACAAATAGAACATTCATTTCTACATAAATTAAATTTTAACTTAATACACAGTGGATTTATGGTAAGTGAAAAGTACATTTGGAGAGGGGAGGGGGTACTGGGGATGGAACCCAGAGGTGTTTTACCACTGAGCTACATCCCCAGACTTTTTTTTATTTTGAAACAGAGTCTCACTAAGTTGCTTAGGGCCTCACTAACGTGCTGAGACTGGCCTCGAACTTGCGATCTTCCTGGCTCAGCCTCTTGAGTTGCTGATATTGCAAAATGTGTACCACCACACCCTGCTGAAAAGTTCAATCTTGAAAAAGTCATTTACTTTTTTTGAAAACCATTTAAACTGGTTATGTGGAAAAGCTGAAGAACTCCAACTTATAAAACTGAAAAAAAAATCAACTTTGAAAAACAAGTATGTAGATGAATGGAATCAATCCTCTGAATATTGTAATGCACACAAACTGTAACAGGTGCTGGCAGAGTTTATGTAACCGTGAGGATGTTAACAGCAGACTGTGCTGGGCAAACATCTCCACTCTGCTTTCTTTCTCCCTCAACTTCTTTACTGCATTTCCTGGAATTACTGAAGTTCAAAGGAAGAACTTTCCTGTTTGACTTAAGCAAACAAGTAATTCAGGCCACTTGATCCACTTAGAGTTTTAGTGGATTTGACCCTTCCCCGATACACACTATAGCACATAAGAACTTTTTGGAGAAAAGGGCCTTTAAAAATCACCTTCATTTTCCATTAAGAAAAGTGTAATTTTTTTTTCTCATGAATTTCTTGGATGAAGGCAAGATTTCTAAAGCTTACAAACCAATATATTTATATTGACATAAATTCTCCTAGGCATGTTTGTGAACTTGATTTTGCTTTGCTAACAAACTGGTAGAAAACAGTTATGTCAGATAAAGGGCATGTCTAATCACAAACATACATGGGTGAGCATGTGCACACACACAATTTTTGAAAGGGCTAAAATGGCATTGGAGATCATTAATTCCAACTCTAGCATTTTACAGATGAGAAAACTGAGGTCCAAAATGATTGGGCCAAAACCTCACAGGAAAGCTGAAGGCTGCAGAGCACAGTTTGTAGGCCTCTCTTTCTTACCACACATGTTGCAATTGCTGGACAAACTRGCTTAACAATCAACAGGCAACTCTCCACCAGCAAGCTGGTGAGCCAGGGGAGCTGTGGTATCTGATTATGCATCATAACACTCCATTCTTTTCAAATGCTAGCTAACTTCTCTATTTGTACTGATATGCCATCTGATCTTTGCCACAATGGGAGGTGGAGTTTAAGAAAGTACTTTCACCTTCTGCACTTCTTTCCCTGCCTTTCCCCACCACCACTCTGGGTTGCTTATAGCCCCAGGACAGACTAGAGAGACCTTGTGCAGTGATGAGCAGTATAACTCATGCTGGCTCTGAATAATTTTTGTGGAAAGTGAAATCATGCTCTTATCTGCTGACTGGCCATCTGCTTTGTTCAGTACACAACAGGCGTTCTGTACTAAAACATACTGGAAAGTAACAGCTCTGCAGCCAGGGACCTCAAATGGAATTGTAACTCTAACCCAAATCTGCCGTGTCAGCCTGGCAACGTTGCCTGAATTCTGGGCTCCAGTGCTCAGTAAAGGGTGGACTAGAACGACTTATTTTTTTAAAGTATAATAAGGACAGTTTAACTACAGTGCTTGGATACATGACGTACAGAAGGCAGTTAATCAATGGAAAGCATTACAACTTTAATTAAAAGTCCAGTTTTAAAAGAATTTCAATATTGCACCAAGGAGAGATACCTACTGTTTTATTCGTTTGGCAATAGTTTAGGGCATGGAATCACTATAATGCTATAATATAAAACCATGTAATGATTAGTTGAGGAGACATCTGAAAGCATCACCCTTATGTTTTATAAGAGTTTCTTTAGAATCCTGATGTTATCTATGACTTTTAGTCACCAATTATTCCCCAACAATATCCATTGTTGCTCTCAATGCCTAAGGCTGTCCCAGCTATTAAATCAGGCAGTTGGAAAGTACATAAATTCTTTCAGACCCTAAGTGGTTCCCTGGTAGTCTGAAAGAATTTATATACTTCCCTAAATACCTTACTTGCCAAAGGGACTTAGGCATGAGGAGAATTGGGGCCATTACTAGGGAGAGGAAGCTGTCCAGAAAGAACCATGAGACTGAGACTTTGTTCCCTACTTAGTAACAATTTATCACAAAGACTGAGCCAAGGCAGGTGGCACCTTCAAGGCTCAAAGCTGCATCTCTTCTCCTTGCTATTTACTCTCGCACTGTCTCGTTCTAGTTGTTCCTCTCATATACCAACTTCTCCCATCCCAAGGCTTCCCCTCCCCCTCAAGGCCACTGTTCGCTGGCCTCTCATCTCTCTCACAGCCCCATCACTGTATTATATGTTTTCCTTTCTCACCATGCCTCCAGGAGATCAAGGACTCCATTTGCTTCACTGTGGCATCCCAGTGCCTACAAGAGTATCTGGAGGTTTCACAGATATTTGTTGAATGAATGATAAATAATAATGCTACCATGCATTACACCAGCCTCACTGGCATGTTGAGCAGATATGGAGACCAAACTATTCTAAGTAGAAAGCAACAGCATTTTCCATATGCCTGCTGAGGGCACACTGTCCTTTCTGGCCATAGCACACGGACCACCTCCTGGTTACTAGCAGTCTGTCTGCTATCTGCCTACCCTATCAACTTGTAGAAGTGACAGGCCACTTCCCCTTCATTAGAATACTTCCACTCTAAATGTTGCCCTCAGAGAACCAAACAACATCTTCTGTGCTTGACCTTTGCTGTTAAGGAAGTATTTGCTGCCTCTAGCACCCATCAGAAAGATCTGCGATTGGATTCCTGACAGTCTTAATAAATTGCTGGTACAAGATAAGAATAGGAAGCTTGAGGCAGGGCATAATGTCTGGTTCTGCATCAGAGAGAGCTGGTGTGGATCCTAGAGATCATCTGCTAGTCATGAGTCTTCATTGTACCATGAAGAAACTAAAACCCAGCTAGATGTAGGACTTCAATGAGGTCGCAGACAGAGGAGGGAACAAATTCACAGCCTCCCCTGTGAAAATTTTGATCCAAACCTTCTCAGACCTGGCGTCGTGTTATTTGCTTTCTCCACTTACAATTGCCAAATGAACACATATACCTTCACTGGAATAAACCACTTACTCTCAAGTGCTTCCAGCTAGGCAAGAACTCATTAAAGTGACGTTAGATAAAAGGGGAGGGAGAGTAGATGGGTTTATTAAATTAAAAATACTTGTCCAATGCTATCATTCCTAAAGAAAAGATGTGATCTGTCTCCCATTAACGAAACATCAAAACCTACTGAGAAGCACGGAAACATTTAAATATGCAGATGATAAACCTGTATTGTTGCAGCTGCTTTTTATACTTCAGTCATTTATTCTTTTTATGACTCACTATAGGAAAGAATTTCAGAAAAAGGGGAGGGAATAGATGATACAAAAACCCGATCAAAGGTAATTTGTTTAATAATCTTACGTGTTGATTGTCAAAATTTTCTAATCCTTAGCAGCTCAAAGTGGATTACTTAAGAGGTAAATTTCACAGAAAACTAACTATATAAGAAGGGACAAAAGATTGTAAAACAAAAGTGATATGGGGCTGGGGATGTGGCTCAAGCGGTAGCGCGCTCGCCTGGCATGCGTGCGGCCCGGGTTCGATCCTCAGCACCACATACCAACAAAGATGTTGTGTCTGCCGAGAACTAAAAAAAAAAATAAATAAATATTAAAAATTCTCTCTCTCTCTCTCTCTCTCTCTCACTCTCACTCTCTTTAAAAAAAAAAAAAAGTGATAGAAGTGTTTTCCAATGATCTATTTCACAGGTGACAAAGTAACCGATAGAGTAATCAATATGTTTATTTGCTGGCTGCAGTCACCACCATCAATTAATGAAAAATTAAAGAGATTGGATAGATTTATATTGAGGGGACAATGAATATTAGAGACTAAAATAGGCAAATATGTCATATGTGTCTTCTAATTTGAAAAAAATTAGAAACTTTATAATAAATGATAAAGAATTATGTCATTTTTACTGATACTTAGAAACCATAAAAGATATACACAAAACTGTTACTACAATTTAACTATATTTGAGTGTTAAAATTCATTTCTAGATTTTCTAGAAATTAAAGTCAAAATAGGAAACATGATAGTTTATGCAGCTCTTCTCAGATAAAAAGAAAGCATGTCAGTTTAAGAAGGATATATATATATTTTTTTTTCCTAGAGTTGAATTCTAGAAAGAATTTGTCATGCTTGTACAAGGAAAACTAAACAAGTGGATAATATATTCAAAGACTCATTTGTAGAAGCAGCACAAATGTTAGGAACAGTCTCAATAAATGAGCAAAAAATTAAAATTAAAAAACCTCTAAGGTAAAACTAAAGATGTTTATTTATTTCCCCTTTTTTGTTTGTTTTGGGGAGTGGAGGGCCTTTAAAATTTCAATGACTCATTCAAAAAAAGGCCCGAGAGGGGCTGGGGATATAACTCAGTTGGTGGCGTGCTTGCCTTGCATGTATAAGGCCCTGGGGTTCCATCCCTAGCACCACCACCACAACACAAAAGGCCAGACATACCAGGTGTCACTAGTCCCCAAGATATACAGATTCCACATTGTTTGACCCCTGCTGCCTCCCAGGTGACATCAACCCAGGGGTTTCCTCTCTGAGCTATGACCTGATCTTCATGGATAACCAGAAAAATGTGAACACTACCATAAAACTCTGGCCCCAATACCCTGCAGTTTGTAAACGTCATTTTAATTAATAAAATCTGTTAGAGAATTCCTAAGTCTCCCTTTGTTACTCTTCTGGTTTATTTGGCAGTTGGAGGCATACAGGGGAAAAAACCTGTTGAAAGAGGGTTGGAAATGGTAGCTGTCCATTAAAGCAATATATGTCTGCTTGCTTACATGTGTCTTCAAATGACAAAAATCAGCTCACCTTTAGAATTTCTTCAACACAATGGACTTCATTGGAGTATGTCTGCTAAAAGTGAAAAGAAGGAAAAGATGAGTAAACAAACAACAGCTAGGAGTGATGATAATGATTGACACTGGTGTCCACAGTAGCACTCAAAGGCTAGCTCACCTCCAGGTCCACATTTCACTAAGAACTTTGCATTCTGGATGAATAAGACAAAAGAGATTCATCTAGCTTGATCTTAGGGAAATGCACAAGGAAACAGTGAGCAGAGACCTTGGCAGACAACTGTGACCCTCAGGTCAAAATTTAATCAATGGAGCAATTGTATATTAAAGAAATAGTACCTAAGTACCTTTAGATGTATAACACATACAGCATAAATGAAGACAAAATGATTAAAACAGGATAACTCCAATTCAAGTTAAATGAATACAAAAATGGCAATCATCTGAACTCCTTAGTAGTTCAATCAAGAATACCCCTTTATTGCCACACACAGTGGTGGACACCTGTAATCCCAGCAACCCAGGAGGCTGAGGTAAAAGGATTGCAACTTTGAGGCCAGCCTCAGCAACTTAATGAGACCCTATCTCAAAATAGGAACTTTTAGGACTGAGGATGTAGCTCAGGGGTAAAACAGGTCTGGGTGCAACCCACAGTACCAAAAAATAATTTAAAAAAAAAAAAGAAAAGACTCTTTATTAGTATTGTTTTTTAATATCCTAACCTACCAAAATTTATTTTAAAGTTAAAAATGTCTCTCACCCTAGTCAGCATTATCACCTTACACACACACACACACACACACACACACACACACGCATACAAAATTTTCCCAGGAAGCAAACGTATAGGGAAAGGAAAAGACAAGACAAAAAGCAACATTCATACTGTCCTGTAGTTGAATTTAATGGACATGTCAAAATTCAACTTCAATTTGATCTGCCTAGGTGTGTGTTTAAAACATTTAAGTTTCCTGGAAATAGCTTTATTCAAATTTTCATACTCTTATTGTTGAGGTAGGGCTACGAAGTTTGGGGGTTTAACAAAAAGAATTGAGGGTATCCCTAAAACCTGTACCCACTCAGACATTCTGCATGTGAACAACTAGATCTGCTTTTTGGTTTTCAGAACCATTAAAAGATATCTAACAACTGGACCCAACATTACTGCTCTGTTTTAGCAAAGGTAGAGAAATGAGTGCTGTTTTCATCCAAGGGTAAAACACAACAATATACATGGTTTTAACGTATTATTAGAAAAAATAACAATACATATTGAGATAACTTGACAGAACAGAGTGTATTATTATATTAACTCTGGACAAATAGTTCCCTCATTCTACCTATCACTGGAATGAAAATGGTAATCCAATTATAATATGTGGCAATCAATGAAAATAATGAGTATACTGAATAGAGGTAAAAATAAGATAAAAATTTATCCACTGTTTCCAAAAGAATGAATGAGAAAACTATACCTTCAAGACACTGAAAAAACTTTTTATCTGATCTTCCTAATAACTCAACTTTTAACCAAGGCTTCATATCGCCAAAGACACATTAAAAAAAAAAAAAAAAAAAAAAAAACCACCACTTATTCCATAGGATGAATCAGGACTGAGGGAATTTTCCTAGAGCTTATCTACAGATAAGCAACATTGACCTTACACGGATACTCATAAAGAGCCCCCATTAACTCATTAAAAATTCTAAATAAGGTCTTGGGTTCAAGTTAGTTGGTTAAATTACTATGAATTTTCCTAGGAGTCTCATTATGGGAGTAGAGGTGTTTAAAAGTGGAACAAGGGTTCTGTTTCAACCACATAAGGCAGTATCATATTTTTAAAAGTCCCAGCCAGAGGAATAGATGAACTCTAGATAGGGCAAACGGGTGGGAGGGGAAGGGAGGGGGCATGGGGTTAGAAATGATGGTGGAATGTGATGGACATCATTATCCAAACTACATGTATGAAGACACAAATGGTGTGAATATACTTTGTATACAAGCAGAGATATAAAGAATTATGCTTTATATATGTAATATGAATTATAATACATTCCATTGTCATATATAACAAATCAGAATAAAAATTAATTAATTAATTTTAAAAAAGTCCCAGCCAGACGTGATGGCACACACCTGTGATCCCAGCTATTCGGGAGGTGGGAGGATAACCCATTCAAGGCAAGCCTGATTAACTTAGAAAAAAAACAGTCAAAATAAATTTTTGAAAGGTCTGTAGCTCAGAGTGCTTGCCTAGCATAAAATGAGGTCCTGAATTCAATCTGCAGTACTGAAAAACAAACCACAATAAACAACCCAAAAAAAAAACCCTAAACAATCCAGTTTATAATGCAAATAATTAAAAATGATCAAATGCCCAACAACAGGAGTACAGCTAAAATACATGCCTGCATATAATTATGTTATGCAGACTTAGTATGCGCTTTTATGGAAAGGTGCTCAAGATAATATACTTTGAACTTTTTTCCTTAGAAATGATTTTGTTTAGGAAAAACTGCTAAAATGCTAACAGGAATTCGATAAGCTCTTTGCCAAGATTCCCAAATATTAACATTTGCTTTATATTTTTCTCTACCCATCTTCACATCCATATACACTGAGCGCTCTCTGAGATTAAGTTAGTTACGACCCCTTTACTCTTAAATACTTCTATGCTCATCAAGCCACTTTTTAAGCCTGTAGTTAAAAGAGGGCAGTTACAAGACAAGTCTATACAGTATGAGTCCATTTTACCTTCCATTTGTCTGAAATTGACATCTCCATTTTTCTCCCCATCCAAATTAGAGGCAGTCAAACTACAGAATAGGTCTGTCAGGTGTGACTACAGAGAAAGATATATAAGGACAAACTGTCCTTTTAAGAACAACTTGGTATTTCCAAGTTGGCCACTGGAAGGGGAAGTCCCAAGAGGGAAGGAGAGGTTGTTGGAATAACCATGGCATGCTAATCCCATTCTTAAAATCCACATTCCTCATAGGGTCTTTACCTCAATACTGTCACTCCTACAAAGCAGAACCAGGCTCTCCCTTTAACACTGTGACCAAAGAATAAAAAATATAATTGGTCCTGCCAAGTCTCTCTGCATCACAGCTGAATTCAAGAGATGATTTAAAGAAAGCAACAACAAACATCTATAACAGCTGTATGGATCAGGAACCTCTAGTTACCAGGTCCTTTCTGTCTAGTTCTCCCCCAATGGTATAGACACCAACTCTATTATGACCACAAATTTCATTGCTGTCTCCCACCCTCAATATCTAGGTGGGAGATATGTAGGCCAGGTGGGCTCTCCCCTCTGCCTGTTTGTGGTCACTTCACATATCTGGTTTCCTGTATAGAGACTAACCGCCCAGCAGAGATCTCAATTCCCCTATGGGGTATGGCCTTAACACAGGAACCATAATTCTTCTCAATTTTTAAAAATTATATTCATTCACTAATTCATTTATACTGGCAATTGAACCCTGKGTTTCTTTACCACCAAGATACATCCCCAGTCCTAAAAGTTTTTATTTTGAGATAGGGGCTCATTAAGTGGCTGAGGGTCTCGTGGAGCAGTTATTTACTGAATGCATATTGCATTAAACTCTGTACGTAAATTAATTCTTCAATCCAGTTATAAATTTAATTATTAGCTTAGCAGGGAGGAGAGCTACGACACTAAATGTGTTCATCAACTGTAAGAAACATCCCTATTACAGAAGCTTTAGAATGAAATAAAAATGTCTCAGGAATGCTGTAAAAGGCTCAATTTAATTCTCAGATCAACCTTTGTGATACATATTATCTCAGTTTTTAAAACAAGGAGATTGGAATTGCAAGTCTAAGGTCACACAAAAGTTCTGAAGTGGCTAAGCCTTATCCCATCAAACTGACTTTCCAAAAAGCCCAACATTCATGCAGGAGACTAACATATCAGTTTCTTAGGAGGTGGTGTGATTCCAGTCCTCCTATGCATGACCAAAGCCCTATTTCAAAGAGCAACATCTTTCATCTGTTCCTACAAAGAAGCATTTTGGTATTCACATTTGACTACCTGTTATCCCCACAAGTGCTTCAGACCAGAAAACGCAGAAAGCTCTCCTGGGTCTGATTTCTTGCTTCTCTTGGAATGATACTGTGAAACCATAAGGAAATACATTGATATTAAAATAAAATATGTTGGTAAATGTCTTCTAAGCATGATACAGTGTGTTTATAATAAGCTTAAAAGACCTGGATGGAAAAAAATACATCTTACTACTGAGACAGGGAGGTTCTTGGCAATATTATATTTTAAGCCTCTCAAGTTTCAACAGAGCAGCATTTTTATAACAATACTATTCTCAAAAAGGCTTAGTTATCACTAACCAGGAAATACAGCAAGCAGCAGGCAGAAGAAGGAAGCCAAAAGAGCTTAGATCCCAGATCTGGCTCTGCTGCAGACTCACTCTGCAATCCTGGATAAGATTCATCCTCTTTGGGAGCATTTCCTCATTGTGATAAGGGATAATAACACCAAACCTAACCACTTCACAGGGTTGGTGTGAAGGTCAAATGTGAAAACATGGAACTTTAAAAACTGTCAAAAGTATCTATATCTATGGAATAATACACAGTGCCAACATTAATCATCAAAACATTCTTCAACAGTGTCACAGCTTTTAAAACCAAACCTCAATAGTTTCACTATTTGAAGTTTAACTTAAAAAATTAACATACATGCCTATTTTTCTTCAAATGTGTCACTCATGCATTGCTGTTCCGTTTTTGATATCTATTTGCTGCTTATCTAGCCCCAAATGCCTGCAACCCTCCCACTGAGCCTTCGGTTTGCAGGTGAAAAACTATCCTTTGGAAAACACTCCCTTACCCCTCAGCTGTCCAGGTGTTCTGATGTTCAGAATGCTGTACTCTGTCATTGTATCATCTCTGCTGCTTCTAGGTTACAAGTTCCATGACAGCAGGGGACAGGCTGACCTCACTGACTCATCAGTCACATGCTGCCTGCCTCACAGATGCCACAAAAAGCATTTGCTGGTATGTTTTCACCCTCA